TATCCTCAAAAATTATCTTGATCAGGCACGAATTTCAAGGCAAAATCAAGTTGGAAACTTCAAAAATTAAATCGGAGACCATATGAACTCCAATTTCAACAAACTTGCAGTCGAATTGAAAGGCTCGGAAATATTAACCCAACGACACCAACTTCGAATTAATCCAAGCCCAAATGAGTCCAAATCAAATATTCGAAGCACGTTTGGAAAGTTCAAACCATAATTTGGATTATCAAATGGTTTCCAAACGTGGAATGCTTATAGTCGAATCAAGCGGCTCAACGAGACGAATCCAACAAGCCTAAGATCGTCAAATTCTGGTATCATTAAGACATTCAAATGGTCAATAAAGGCTCACGATCAAAGGATTCAATATCGGCCGTCCATTCAAACCACTCCAAATTTACCCATGATCTTCCTACTATTTACTAGTCATGTCACTCTCAGAAAACTATAAATAGACCCTTCATTATTCATTGAGGAGAGGAAGGAGCCCAAGGAAGAAGAGAAGGAAGAGAAACAAGAGTTCTCTTGCCACCAGACTCTTCAACCAGCTCCCGGCCACCAACCGACGTCAGACTTCTACCTTTCACCAGATTTCTACCCGTCGTCGGACTTGCGCCCGTGGCCAGATATCTACCCAACGCTGGACTTCCGCCTGTCGTCGGACTTCTGCTCATTGCCGGACTTTCGTTGGACTTCTACTCGACGCCAAACTTTCGTCCGTCGCTGGATTTCTACCCAATGTTGGACTTTTGCCTGTCGCCGAACTTATTCCTGTCGCCAGACTTTCGTCAGACATCTACGCGACGCCAGACCTCCGCCCGTCACCGAATTTCCACCCGACGCCGAACTTCTGCCCAACCGCCAACTGACGAAAGTTTTCTGGAAGTTTGTGAAGGAAGATTTGATGCTAGCAACTTTCTCTATATATAATTTGCAGTGCCAACTTTAATTATGAGATTTATAACTAAGGCTAGTAAATGAGCCCACATCTATAAAATAAATATTTGTTTGATGGAAGATTTTCATAATGTTCTAAGTTACTAAGGCATCTTGCTTATGTTGCTTGTGGAATGTCAAGATCAATTAATAGATGATTATATTATATAGACCCAACTTCCTACAAATGTGAACCAACTTCCTAGGCAATTTGATCACAATATTGAAAAGTGCAAGCCATCATGATATTGTTGATGTTATAGAACATTAATGATACGCCGAATCAAGCTCCATTACTTAGTGTACACTTGTTAGTGGATACGTCAAATAAGAGCTTGTAGAAAAAACACTAAACTGTAGTCGTTCTTGATGCTTCTTAACGATGTAATCGATACATATGGGTGAACTAGAAACATAGATGCATGGAAAGAAATGTGCTTTCTCATGAAGAAAAATAAATACAAGTTTTATTATATTATTTTCATCACAATGATAAGATCATATAATAGCATGAACATGAATATAGAGGCTCAAGATTCGAAGGATAAGATGCTTAAAGTGAAAAGTGATTTCTAATACACTTAAATGCCACCAGATCTGCAACAAACTTTTACAAGAGGACACAAGGCGTTCGTAGACCCTTAAATGAAATCTTGGGCATTTCTAAATGAAATCACTGGCACAATAGATCATATTTAAATATTTTAAAATCCTCCCTTTATGTATTAAATATGGTCCCACTAAACGGAAGTGCAACATACCATGTATGTGCTCTGACAAACGTGTTAAAGTTATAAATACAAATGTCCGAGAATGCTGCGCAGGATCAAATGCTCATTATATTTTCAAACTAGACAAAACCCGTATGTGCTCCGATCGTCGCATATGATTCCTAAATCTAACGGTCTGGGAATGATGCGCGGGTCAAATATTCAAGTATCATCCTCCTCCATAAAATGATTGGAGTAGACATTACCTAAAGTACAAAATGTCTTCCAAAATCCTAAGAACATACAAGTGACATTGACGTCACCCCGATGATGGCCACGTTGACAGAAAATCTCAACCAGAGGAGTCAAAACTCAAATCAACCAAAAGCCCAAATTCTAGAAGTAAAATCTATCACATAAAAAATCTAAAACTAAACTCATCCACCTTCCGCAACCGTTTGTCGGGGGTGATAAATTTGAAATTAACATCAGCTCACAAAGAGCGAATGTGTGTCGGGTGTAGCCCGTGTATCACTATGATTCATCCTCAAATAGTCTCTTGTCAGCAGGGACGTGAAACGTGCCCTCTGATCAGATGGTTTTGCCACAAAAAGACACCATTATATTTCGATCACAACCAAATCTCGTATGTTCCCTAAAGGCTTCAAACCCTTGAATAATGAATCATAGGGTATATTCGATGGGCATAAAGCCCTCTATCAACTAAGGTGGATTCAGATCTATCCCCTTAGGCAAATATCAACCCAAGTCTACAAGGTATTATTGGACAAAGTAACCCATGACTACCAATAAGATACCTTTTGTCAGGTTGGGTCGACTACCTCCTATGACTAAGTAGGCTAGGGATCATGACAGCCCGGGATGATGGAACCATAAGATCTTGATATGGCTCATCTTCATTCTCCTCATCGCCAATTTTAAGTGTATGGTGATAAAATTTATGTTTCAAACTACAAAGTTCATATCCAAATTTCAAACCCTAAAATTGTTGTTATTATACATTAGATTTATAACCTATGTAACATCTTTAACGACTAGCCTTAATCGAAAGTTCTCTCTCGTTATCGGGAGGGGTAATTAACTATAGGGGCTTGCGCCTATAGGAAACCAAAACTCGGATCATAAAGTACTCACAAAATGAGGGTGAAATCTCTGGGTAGTGTCTTATCTAAAACCTAATCCGCCTTCTAAAAATTCACCCGGAACCTAAACTTGTTAACTCTCCGCCGTCACATACACAAACAAAGAAAAAGAGAGAGATTTGGCGCGGAGAGGCCGAAGCGTACATGGAATTTTTGGAGCCCACATGAATTAACCTTGACCCTTCTCCAAATTTACCGGCATATCACTCTCAAAATCTATAAATAGATTCACACATGAAACAATGGCTTGAACCTTTGGTTAGATATTGGAGAGAGCTTTGAGGCTTCAAAGATCCTAAAGTTCTACCTAAGCACCACCGACAACGAACTTTTATCGACCACCAGCCATTCGTCGGTAGTTTCCGAACCACCGCCCGTATGCTGACCGTAGGCACACCACCACCCGTTTGCTGACTGTCGCCAGACGACTGTCATCAAACCACCGCTCGTCCGCCGATCGTCGCCAGACCTTCACCAAGCCACCTACAGTCATCCGAGCTCTACCCAACTGTCGAATCATCACCTATACGCCGATCATCATCAGACCTCTGCCCAATTTTTGCGACTATAGTCCCTCTAACCACCGTCTCCCCGCCTAACTACGGCCCCTCCGACCTCCATCGCCCGCCAACTACGGTCCCTCTGACCTTCGTCAACCGTTGATTATGTTCCCTTCGACCGTCATCGCCCGCCAACTAAAGTCCCTTTGACCTCCGTCGCCTGCCGACCGTGGTCCCTCCAACCACCGTCTCTTGCCAATTTGCAGTCCCTTCAGACCAATGTCGCCCGCTGACTACAGACCCTTCGACCGCCCGTCAGCCGACCGCCATCAAACCTCCGCCAAGCCACCTACTATCACCAAACCTCCTCTAGCCGACGACCGTAGTCGGACCATCGCCCATCCGCTGATCACTGTCAGACCACCGCACGTCCATCGATCACTATCAGACCTCTGCCAGGTTGTCACGACTATAGTCCCTCTGAACACCGTCGTCTGCCAACTATGATCCCTCTAACCACCGTCGCCCGCTGACTGTGATCCCTTTCAACCACCATCTCCCGCCAACAACGGTATCTCCAACAATCGTCGCCCACCGAGTAAAGTCCCTCTGACTTTCGTCGCTCGCTGACAAAGATCCCTCCGTCTACCGTTGCTCGCCGACTACGATCCCTCCAACCACTGTCGTCTGTAGACTATGATCCTTCGAACCTTCGTCGCCTGCCGACTAAGGTCCCTCCAACCTCCATCGTCCGCCGACTACAGTCCCTCCGACCACCTTTACCCGTAAACTACAGTCCCTCGGACCTGCGTCACCTGCAGACTACAGTCCCTCCTACCTCTGTCTCCCACCGACTACAGTCCCTCCAATCTCCATCAGTCGCCCAACTACAATCTTACCAACAAAATGAGCAGACCAACACTCTCTTGAGAACAACTCTCATATCATTGGATTATTCCAAGTCCAACCAAGTAATGTGCCCGTTATGATGTATATTTGTCACATTGGACAAAGGTCTTCCCCGAGGAAGAGTCTCATTTTAATCAACAACAATAAACACTAGTAGAATCATTTTTATTGAATAGGCCTCATAATTTTCCCCTTTTCAAAAATTTCCACGTAAAAAATCTTCGTCTCTTATGACTCTTGAACCCATCTCTCTTATCTATTTGTGTGTTGTATATTTGTACAAAGGTAAGACATTAAACTCTTTATCTTTCTACCGCCGCAAATGTTCCCGTAACAAACATTAATCTTTTACTTTTTAAATTACTAGTTCAAATGAACTAATATTAGAACAATCATCACATTAAGTTAATACTATTTTATTCATATTAAATGCAATAAGCAAAACATAATGGGTTTTCCAAGCGAGTTTCAAGAATAATAACTAAATTACATTTTAAGAGCAAAGCTCGTCAACAGCAGTAAATTTTGATACTTTTATTTCTCTTTGTATTAACTGTGGACGTATATCCAAATCACTCCCTTCCAGTTCATAGGACGGGCAAAACCACACACCAAAAAAAAAAGAATGCTCGGTGGTAAAATGATTGCTAACTAAGACCTGCCTTATGTTTCCGAAATGAACGAATATATCAATCTCAGCAGGTATAGAGATACACGAATCAGTAACGATCTAGATAAAAACCTACAGTAGATTTTAACTTTACGATCCAACCAACCTTAGATTCCCACTGGGTTATATCGCTGCGGCAAAGAGAAGAGCAGGTGACCTTGATCCGGATCTCCATTGCTTCGGGTGGATCGACCTCCACCTCTTCCAACGCAAGAGGCTCGCCCGGCCCCCATGCCACCGCAGCTAAGACAGAACTCGAAGAAAGTGTCAGAATTATAAGAGACTTCGAAACTGGAAACGGGGAAACTATAAAAATGGCAGTAGAGGAGCGAGCACCTTTGCAGGTAAGTACGGTGGCACATTTAGCCGGCGAGGACATCGGGGCAGTAGATGTGGTTGGTGGTTGGAATCGAGAGAGGCAGGGATCGGTAATATCAATACTAAGATAAAAGAAATAAAAGTCTTTCGAGAAGGAAGACTTGGGAAAAAGGAAGACTTGGGAAAAGACCCAGCGAGCTTGGTTGGTGGGAGTACGTTTGGTAACCTCCACTTCTTCTTCAATTTAGGTGGGTCCAATCAAATATGTATCAGGATATTTCTGATGTGTGTCGTGAGTCCATGATTAGTCACGAAGCACAATTTTGATTTTTGAATGTGATAGAGAGTGGATACTGGCTGTTACAAAAAAAAAAAGATTGAAAAAAAGGCTAGTACTTTTTCTTATATATATTCAAAGTTTTTTATAGACTTTGTCAATAAGCTTTCTCTCGCAAGATATGCATGCAAAAAAGATCTCAAACATTTCATATGGTGATTATAAATTATCTTAACCATCGCATATGAGGCATCCTAACAATATGATTAAAATTGTTTGAAATTCGGAGTCAATATGTTTTAATTTTAATTAATAATTTTACAAATACTTTAGAAAGTTTTTTAAACCATAGGATTTTTATAGTACACAAGAACATACTATAGTGTCTAAGAACATTTAATTATGACAAGTGTAGGGCTGCAAGCGAACCAAACGTTCGACGAGCTACTCGCTGTTCGGTTCGATTAAAGCTCGTTTGAGATCGTTTAATTAAGTAAACAAACAAACTTGAACAATATTTTAAATACTCGGCTCGGTTCGTTTGCAGCCCTAGACAAGTGTGTGAGGAGTTATCAATTTTAGAAGATCAGATGAATTTTTATAATTTTATTAAATCATTTACATAATCAGCCTACTGATTGTGCCGCACTTTATACATTCTAATTATGACACTTTCTCATAAAGACACAAAATCTTATATATCAAATTATGGCTAATGGGTTAAATCTCCACTCAATCTTAGATATCATAATACACATTCTACCTAACATATGAGTGACATAATAAAATGTTATAAAATCTCAAAAGTCAATATTAAAGTAATGCAAACTATTTTGAACTTAATTCCCTAAAATGAGGTATATAAACAAGCATCATCGTGATGTATTCAAGTTCTCAACTCAAATGTCTCTCGTTATATTTTCATCACCTTCTAAACCACGTGATCATTATATAATTGTTTATATTATAACTTTTTCCTTCATAGTATCATCCACTTAATTTATCTCATTTCTCATCAACTCTCAAATACATTGCACTCTTTAACACTCTTTTCGAAAGTAATAAAAAATTTGTACTACAACTCCGTTTTAGAAAGCAATAAAAAAGCCATCCCAAACGAAACCTTAGTTAAAGGTATTTGAAAGTATTGCTAGTGAACATGTTCTCAAATGAAAGAGAACCAAGTTGGTTGATAGAAAGTCCAATCTCATCTTTATATGGTACAAATGATCAAAGCTAATAAATTATTTGATCACAAATCTTCTATTTTTACTGAAGTAGTAATTTGAAGCTCAAGAAACATGGTGTTGGAGTTTTGAGATAATGTTTGATCAATTATTCATATATTATACTTTATCTCGAAGCAAATATAATGGCTATAAGCTCCACCTCAAATCTGAGCTTAGTTGGTTGGCTTATTGCATAAAATATATTTTCACCACATAAATTCCTGAAAAAGCTATGAGAAAGTGGTTAGAAGGCAATAGTCAAACAAAATTGTGATTGTTATCTAAAAAGCAAAGCACCCAAAAATCTCTACCGAATAGACCCTTATTCAAGCATATTTGTGACATTGGTTTTATCAAATGTTCTCAGACATGCTTACTTTGGGTTTTTTTAATGAAAATTTTGATAGTTTTAGCTAACTCAAAGCATGCATTTATCATCTATTATTGCCAATGGTTCTAATGTTTCACATCATAGTTCATCCTTTTAGTTTATGCCCAATGTGTCTTGAAACATAGCATTCTCCAAAGCCTATCAGAGTGAACCAAAGGTTGAACCCAAATAGACCAAGAACCATTTCATAGAAAATTGAAAGATAACTAAATTTATTTATTTTTTCATCAGTAGATATAATTCATATTTTCATATATATAATACACATAAATATAGACTTCTACACAACAACAATAACATCAAACATTCATCCCACTACATAAAATCTGTTATATGAATCTTTTTTCTCGATTGTGTTGAGTCAAATGTAGACTTCTATGATAAAAAAATATTTAATATGTTGATAGTTAATATAGGACTATCATTTATCACACACATAACCTTATTAACATAATTCAAAATAATTTTTAGCATATTAAATAAGTTTTATTGATATGATATCTTGTCAATACATCTTAAATGCTGAAACCATTTACAGGCTATCAAGAAAATTGAATAGTACACTGCCTTAACCTGCAAAGAATACGACTAAAATTTAATATCCAAGTCGTTGCCTTTTCATCATAAATGTAATGCAATATGACAAAAAATAGGGATAGTTCATCGTCCTTAGACTGAAAAGCTTATCGCTACCGTGGCCTATTTCATCGCCATTAATGAACAGTTGCGTGGTCAATGCCTTGAGCCAACCGCGAGAAAGATAGACGACGAAATGAACCTATTATACTCTCTTGTCTCCTGCTCGTGGACTGTGCTCATCAATTTTAAACCCTTCCATCCCTTCAACTCCTCGCCTTTAAGCATCACTCATTACGTCAATGTCTGGTCATTAAGTAATAATTCTCTGTTTTATACTTAATCTTCGTGTTTTATTATTCGGTTTTAGTGCTAAAATACTACTGTAGTCATCGAGGGAAGATATTGGAATGACAGCTAATAGTAAGCTATGAGGGAAGTGCTGTCGGTTGAAGGCAGAGTGGACGTGCAGCGCTTGCTTGCCCGAGCCAATTATGTTCGTATTATTCTTTCTTCTTTGGCTGTGAGCTTTTTATTTAAACCAATGGCTGTCTCTTATCTGTTTCCAAGCTGATGTTGGACACTTTTCCTTGGCAATTCTTTTCATAAAGCTCCACTTGATGCAATGAGAATCTGAATGATGTTAGCCCTTCATGTTTATTTATTAGTATAATTTACAAGAGAGAGAGAGATAAGGATTGTGATGTTGATGATTATATATAAGATAAGAATCAAATGAGGTAAATGAGTTTAGTTGAAGCCATTTTTGATTTGAGCTTGAGGGCGGATCCACCTTAAGATCACGGATGAAAAAATAAAAAAATTCTTTATTATATGATTCTTTAGATAATTTGTCTCTTTTTATGTATCTTTTAATTTTTATTATAAGAGTTTTTAGGTAATTGCCCCCTTTAAAGTTTTAAAATGCTATGATCTTTAGGCAATTGTCCCAACATAATTTAACACACTGTGTAGAAATGTTATTGTTAGGGAACGATGAACCAAATTCAGAAAAAAAAAAAGTAAAGATAATTCAAAAATATCTCTACAACCAAAATTTGTTCTGCCAGGGGCGCTGCTCCTTTGGACCCTCAATATATCTATGAAGCGTACAATGATCAAATATAGACAAATAATTGTCAAGAGGTAGCACCCCCGGAACAAATTTTGCTGTAAGGTTATTTATAAAAAAAATCTCTACACTTTTACCTATCTACTTAAAAGTGGGGCTCAAGTTTAAGCTTATAAGTTTTATAAGTTGTGATTCTAATTCATATTGCTGTTCTAATGAAATAATAAGAGGAACTAAAAAGTAAAGCAGAAATAATGAAATAATATTGGAAATATGGAGAAGAAATTTTAAAAAAAAAATTGAATATTTAATATTTAAATGCTTGATCAATATTAATTAACTTTAGTCACCTTCTTCTGGATTATAATTAAGTATGGGTTTAAAGATAGAGATAACTAATCAATGCCAAAAGCATGCAAACCTCTCAAAAATTAGCCTAATCAAGATTTATTCTTCCAAGATTATCTAACTAACCTCTACTTAAGCTAACCTGATCTCCATTTAAGTATTTAACTAAAATTTGACACTGCTTTTAACGCCAAAACAAATATTCTAATCCGTTTAGCTCTTCCAAACAAAACAGTAATCTAAACTCTGAGAAGTGCTTATCCTTTGACAAGATAAGCAACTTCATGAGACAGAGACAACGCGTTAACTAACCTTAGATCCGCAATCTAAGTACATTAGATTACAATCTTAAACAACAGGAAAGGACCTAATTAAGCTTGTTGAGATTGCAAACTTGCTGCAAAAGAATATAATATACAAAATTGAATCTTACGCTTCCTTCGTTTCTGTAGTCTTCAAACTTTGGGAATCTCCCTCCATGTTTCATGCTCTTCTAGTTCACACAAGTTCGGTGCAGCTGTTCCCACTATTATTTTCTTTTCATTGACATGAGTGGGACTACGTATATAATAAGCTATTAGCTCACTACATCTGATAAGGCGGTTTTGTTTTCTAGCCGTTGAAGAATAGCTTGCATATATAGATTTGCTTCCAACTCTTCCTTCCTTTTCATCAATCTCCTGTGGGAATTAATGCTTATTCAGATACTGTTCAGGGTGAGTATATATAGTAGCTTAGCTCTTATAGAGCTTCTACCTTCATCGAATTTTTTTTTTTTTTCAAGATCTCTTTAGGCTTCAGTATATTCAACGTTCAAACTACCTGAAAATATATCGTTGAGTTGATTGTGCTGTGTTTAGATGTAAAGAGTAGAAGAGAAGTGCCTTTCTTCCTTCGAAATATAGAAGAAAACTTATTCCAAGCTTTTGGAAATGGTACTGTTTGTGTGATTATATACTGATTCGGATTTTGCATTTGATTTCAGTTATATATTCTGAATGATTTGAACTCTCATGGTGCTCTTGTTATTGTTCTCTTTCATTTATAAATGCATGGAAACGATTTATTAGCTTCTTCAGGGAGACTGCGCACTTCAGTTTCTGATCAATTTAGTTTTTTTTTTCCTTGTAACTACTAGCTCTTCTCCAAAATTCTGCAAACCATTTGTCTTCAGTTCATTGAACGATCGAATTATCCATTTGTTCTTAGTTTTCGAAACAACGAGTTGTGATCTTGTGCTGTATTGTTCGTGGGAAGGGGTAGTTCTTTTTTTTTTTTTCTGTGAAAATTTATGAACTCATTCCAAGCTTTTGGAAATTATGACTTCTTTTGGGACAACATTTTTATTACTTCTTAAAGCAGTTTTTTAGTATAAAAATTAAAAATTTTATATTAAAAAGCTGCTTTAAGAAGCAGTAAGAAAGCAGTCCCAAACGAAGCCTACTGTCATGTGATTATGCTTTTTCAAAATTCACATTTGGTTGCATTTTTATATTCTAACAGATTTTGAGCTCTGATTGATGCCCTTGTCAATTATTTGTAGGATTTACTAGCTGAATGGAGGGAAACTATCTTCTATTATGGAGCATTTCTATTGCAGCACTATCCTGCATTTTTTCTTGGTTTTACTGGCAGAATTATAAGAAGAAGAAGATAGGCTTTGGGCCCATCACATTACCACCAGGTGATACTAGCTGGTCAGCCATTATCGGCGATTGTCTTAGGTGGTACAACTCTATATCAAGCTCTCATCCCCCCGAATTTGTTGAAGAGCAGGTGAAAAGGTATGTAAATAAACTCTCTTGCATCTTTCATTGAACTGTAGCTTTATGAATGATAACCTTCATAACAATATTTTCTAATAAATGTGTCTAACTTTTCCTCATTTGCAGGCATGGAAAAGTGTTCACTTGCAGTTTATTTGGAAGAAGAGCTGTAGTTTCAGCTGATCCAGTGTTCAACCGGTATATAATGCAGAATGAAGGAAAGCTATTTCAATCTAGCTATCCAAAGTCTTTTAGAGATCTGGTTGGGAAGAATGGGGTGATTGTAGTTCATGGAGAGCAGCAGAAGAAACTTCATGCAATTGCAGTGAATATAATGAAGCTTGAGAAGATTAGTTCCAACTCAAGTTTCTTAAGTGATGTACAAATGATAATGCTTCAAACTATAAACTCTCTTTCTGATAATGAGGTTGTTGTGCTTCAGGATGTTTGCAGGAAGGTATGTTAAAACATAGATGCTTTGCATTTTCTTTGATTACACAATAAGACTTTGCAATCTGAATGATTATTATGATTTTTGTCTTAAGGTGGCAATCAATTTGATGGCTAATCAACTGATGGGAGTGTCATCTGAGTCTGAAATCAACGAGATGGCATGTCTGTTTTCTGATTTTGTAGATGGTTGCTTATCTGTCCCAATTAACTTGCCAGGATTTGCCTATCACACTGCTATGAAGGTGAATAGTTTAAGGTTTCGTTTGGAAAGGCTTTCTTACTGTTTCATAAAGCAATTTTTTAGTAAAAAATTAAAATTTTTATACTAAAAAACTGCTTTAAGAAGCAGAAAGAAAGTTGTCCCAAACGAAACCAAAGACAGTTTTATTCATATTTGCATTACTAACAATTTTCTCTTCCACCACGCTTCAAGAGATTGTTTTCCTGTTAAAATTTATGATTAGTTACAATAAACATTTTGATTAATCAAAATTCAATGGTATAATGAATGAATCCTTCATATGAATGACCATAATGAAGACAATTACAATTAGCTGTTATACTTATACCAAATTAGCAGTTGGAAAATAAACAATAAAGATGAATTAGTCAATTATCTCATAATTTGTTGAATTTACAGGCAAGAGAAGGCATCATTGCCAAGATCAAGAATACAATAGCTGTTGGGATGCAGCAGGGTGGATCTGTAGAAAGAAGTGGAGTGCTTGGGAGGCTGGTGGAGGAAGAGAACTTGAATGATAATCAAATAGCTGATTTCATCATAAATCTGCTCTTTGCTGGAAATGAAACTACAACTAAAACAATGTTGTTTGCTGTTTATTTCCTCACTCAATGCCCTCAGGCATTAGAGGAGCTCCTGGTGAGTGGTTTTTACTTGAAACATGGATTCTGCTTTTCCCATTTTCTATACAATGCTTTGTAATGCTTAGTGTTTTGAAACGAGTAAATATTTATTAAAGTCAAGCTAGGAAACAACAATGATAATTGTTGATAACTGAATAAATATCTTTTGGAGAATTTATATAAAACTCCATGTAGTTTAGGCCCTTATGTGAAAATGCATATTAGTCTTAGGATATCACAAATAAAAATAGAAGTCTTATTTTTGAACAATAATGAGACGGCTCATTTTTATTATGAAGGCCCTTATGTAACAGATTTTGAGCTCTGATTTGGTTCACATACTTAGCATGACCCGGCTCGAAAACTCAAGTTAATAAGACGGGAACATACGGTCAGACTCATACTAAACCGGCTGAGCTGGCTCAAGTTTATAGGAGGCAGACAAGTTCCGCCTCCTCTCATGTTGCTCGCCCACTTGGTGGGTCCCAAGGCTTGTAATAGATTTGATTTTCAAAAGTGTAGGGCTGCTAGGTATTGGGAGGGAGATTTGATTAGGAAAGATTGGGTATTAAGAGAGAAAGATGTTTATGAATATTTTTATGTTTTGTTTGATTGCAAATTAGGGTTTCATGGCATTTAGGCCTAGACTCTCTCTTGTCTAGAGATTTGGGAGAGACCATCCTCCTCTCGAATTGAGGGTCATTTGTATCTTGTTATCGTGTTTGTTTGGCTTTATTTCTCTTATTGCAATCCATCATTTGGGGTTGATTTTGCCCATATTTTGCATTATTCTCGTTGTTTTCACCAATTAGTGATAGGTTTGATTGCGAACTCAAGTATTTCCCTTAGGTTTACTTGCGAACTCAAGTATTTCCTATCAGACGGTTATTACAGTTATTTCAATAACAATAACTACTCAAAAGACTAATAATCAAAATATATGAAGAGCAACTAATCAATTTTCCAATTTGAACAATTAATTGCAAGCTAATTATGACCTATTTTCATTTAATTCAGAATTATTACCTATTTGAACATATAATTACATGCCAATTGTCAGAAATATCATTAAAGATATATTTCATTCTGATCTTCATTAACTTCTTTTTCGGTTGCTGAAACTAAACAGATTGAGCATGCGAGCATCAGAAGAATGAACCACAATGAGATTCTTGAATGGGATGACTACAAAGCAATGCCTTTCACTCAATGCGTATGACTTTATTCAAAATTCTTCTTCTCTTCTTGTTTCAATTTATCAAGCAAAACATCAGCATATTTAATTAATGTCTTGTTATGTTCATAACGCAGGTTATTGATGAAACCCTCAGACTTGGGGGTATAGCAATTTGGTTACTGAGGGAGGCAAAAGCAGATGTGGAATATAAAGGTGATGAAGCTTCCTATTTTAAAATTCCTCATTATTATTTCTTTAAAACAATTATCTTACGATTATTAAAGATAATAGAATTCTAATCAAGGTAGTTTTAAGGACACCAGAATGATATTAAACAATAAATAATCATCAGGAGCGAAAAGAATCAAAACTAGAAAAGAAGATACAATAAAGATTGATCTACTACTAAGCTTCGTTTGGGATGACTTTTTTATTTCTTTTAAAACAATTTTCTAATTACAAAGCTACATTAAGAAGTAGTAAGAAAGCCGTTCAAAACGAAGCCCTTTGTTTGGGTCAGTTCTTTACTGCTTCTTAAAACAATTTTTTAGTAGAAAAGTTAAAATTTTTATACTAAAAAGTTGTATTAAGTAGTAAGAAAGCCGTCTCAAACGAAGTCCAAGTCTGTGCAACTCATTTTTCTTTATATAAATCAAAATAAGTATTGCCTACCTCATTCATATCACAGTATTGTTCTACCTGTATTAATGGCATGCTTGTACTTATCTTTTCTTTTTTGGATAATTTCTTCAGACTTTACTATCCCACAAGGCTACCTTGTGGTGCCATTTCTATCAGCTATTCACTTGGATGAAGGAATATACCCTGAAGCTTTACAATTCAACCCATGGAGATGGTTGGCTGAAGAGAACAAGGTTTTTCATGTTCAGTAATCATATTGTATTGTATGAAGTAATTTAAATTGCAGTGATACCTTCTTAAATTCATTAATTACATAATCAAGTCATCATTTTTATTAATCATCATAGATAAGAGTGTAAAACCATGTAAAATGCATCAAATTTTATAGTTAATATGGACTTTTTTGATATCCCAGAATGTTTACTTATATATTTTAGTTATGTTTCAGGAGAAGAGAAATTGGAGAACTAGCCCATATTTTTCACCTTTTGGAGGGGGAGCTAGATATTGCCCTGGGGCTGAAATTTCACGCCTTCAGATTGCTTTCTTTTTGCATCATTTTGTTAGCAAATGCAGGTTAGTATTTGTTGCTTGGTTACTAACATGTGGGAGAAATTATTCTGTGCGGATACCGGACCGTTTAGAGGCAGATCAAAATGCGCCATAGAATCCGATAACAGCGGTATACAGCACCAGTATACAACAAAAAAGTGATGTGACGCATCTTAATTCGTCTCCAAACGGCGTCTGGCATCGGCACAAAATAATTTATCAAAATGTGGAGCCTAATTTTTCTTCATTTTTTTAATTATTTTTTAATTTTATTTTTAAGTACTTAAAAATCATCTTTGTTTAGATTGATATTACTTTATTTTAAGGGCTCATTTGGTTACTTTGCCATAGAAAAATTATTTTAGGGAATAATGAATAAATTTTCATTACTTCAAAAATTCAAAATAAGGATCAAAATGATGCCCATACTTTTTACGAATGATCAAAATAGTCGCCAATTTTTGTCTATTCAAATTTTAATTAAAGAACTAAATGATTTGACGGAAAGACTAACTTGATCCCTATTTAAAGAGTAATTGAACCAAATTGACATTTTTATATAGTCAATGACTATTTTGATCTTAAAAAAAAAAAAAAATAGCGAACTAATTTGCCCGTTTTCTCTAAAGAAATCATTATATTTGAGTTGTTTGTTAAGTCTAAAATCTATAATTATTTATGCTACAACCTAGTTACATAAAATATAGGAAAAATGTTAGTAATATTGCATAAATAAGTATAATTAGACCATTTTTAAATGGAGTGAAACGACTTCAGGTAACATAGTATACTTACAACTATTGATATTTGGGGGAGAAGGGGTAACAACTTAGGCTTCCGTTTGGGACGGCTCTTTTATTGCTCCTAAAAACAGAGTTTTAGTACAAAAATTAAAAAATTTGTACTACAACTCCGTTTTAAAAAGCAATAAAAAAGCCGTCCCAAACGAAGCCTTTTAGGCTTGTTTGGAACGGCTTTCTTACTTCTTCTTAAAGTAACTTTTTAGTTTAAAAATTTTAATCTTTGTATTAAAATATTACTTTGAGAAGTAATAAGAAAGCAATCTCAAATGAAAACTTAATCTCTGAAGAGTTTGACACTTTGCTTGATTGATGCTCTAAGCCTCTAACTTTCAAATAGAGAGCTTATTTACAAACTCCTGCTGAGCCTGAACTACCAAATAGCAATTTAGTACCTAAAACCAAATAATTGCTAGAAACAAACTATCTAAAGGCCAAGTGGGCTGTGTTTTTTTTTTAAAAAATTTTTTATGAAAATTTCCCAAAAGAAAGGTTTTATGTGATCTAATTTTATTTATTGCATATAGTTCTCCAGATGGTTTTTAAATTGAAGATCAGATCACGTATTGTGAGCTATAAAATCAAAAATATTTTTGAATCAAATTTATTGATTTTCATAACGAATTGATCATTTGCAAGTAAACGAAATAAAGTAAAATGATCAAAATATCCAACTTCCAACCACTTGGTTGAAAGGCATTGCTTAGATATGTAGAGTAGATATTTAATATTCAAATATAACAAGAGAAAATGGTCAAAATAATTCTTTAACTCTTTATAATAAATCAAAATATTCTCCAATTATATTAAATAATTATTTTAATTTCTCAACTGTTTAAAAAGAAATCAAAATAGTCTGACCACAATATTATTTTATTTCTTTTTTAAAAAAGTGAGGGATCAAAATTATACTTCAATAAAATTGGAGATCATTTTAATCCTTCATAAAAAATTAAAGGATTATTTTGATTATTTTCTCAATATCAAAATATATACATAAGTTAACTTGATTGTGCTTAGGGGCGGAATCCCATTGTATCCAGGGGCAATTGCCCCCCCCTCCCGGCCCCCCCTCAAAAAAAATTTCTTTTTTATATTTATTGTATGATTCTTTAAATAATTTGTCCCTAAATCTATGTTTTAGTCAGGGTTCTAAGGCAATTCTCCCCCCCCCCCCCCCTGCCACGCCCGTTGAGCCCCCCCCCCCCCCCCCCCTAAAAGTTTTAAAATATTATGATCTTTAGGCAATTGCCCCATGTATAATTATACACATTATGCAGATGTGTTATTGTCAGAGAATGATGAACCATATGTAAAAAGAAATAGTAAATCAAAATTAGTTCCAGGGGCGTTGCCCCCGAAAACCCCCGCAGGGGCGTTGCCCCTTGACCCCGTGACTTGACCGGGCAGGTCGAACCCAGCTAGGAGGCGCTGCCCCTTGGACCCCGATATATCTGCCAACAATTACTTATAAATTTGCCCCCTTTGAAAATTATAGCTGATTCTGCCTTGATTGTGCTATGAAATCTTGATAGCAAAATGATGCTTCTAATATGTGTTATTAAAAAAAAAATTTGTGAACAGGTGGACTCAAATTGCAGAGGATCGGATGTCCTTCTTCCCTTCAGCTCGTCTTGTGAATGGATTTCGAGTGCGTATTTCCAAGGTGTAGGATACATTACAGACATTGGCTTCTTTTTGTTTTAAATGAAGAGATCTGACACAGTGGAAAATTCTATCATGTTAGATGTACGTAATGTGTGTATATTCTTGTCTCCATTTGTAAATATATTTAGCATCATTTGTATTTCCCAAATTACACGTATGTAAACTTCTATACTATAGATATGATTTTCCTTCTTTAGTCATAACTATTTTCCATTAAATATTTCCCTATAAAAACAATAAAATAAAGAAATGAAGTCTTTAGACAAAAAATACATTTTTGTGCATGGCTTTAGCTACTCGGTGAGCTATGAAGGATCAATATGTACACCTACAATCAACATTATTCGGTTAATCAAATCAGAATGCGACTTGAAACTCATCTCATATTTGAAGTTATCAAAGAGATTAAGGTTTTGTTTGGGATGACGTTTTTTATTGTTTCTTAAAACAGTTTTTTAGTACAAAAATTAAATTCATTGTACTAAAAAAATGCTTCAAGAACCAGTAAAAAAGCCATCCCAAACGAAGCCTAAACTTGTCTTAGAATTGAAGTCACAAAAAAAAGTTTAACTCATCCAAAACATAAAAGAGTCTAATAGAGAATTCTACTCACACAAAAATTGATATATGAGGGAAAGTAGAGCTCATCCATCTGAATAATTATTGTGTTCGGACACTGAACGCTTCCAGAGACCAGTAACAAAGCGCCACGTCACTTGGGCGCTTGGAACCGTGCTCGATACGGAAAGTCGAATAAAAAAAGGTTTTAACTTATTTGATAATTCAAGTCGTTCAAAAGAAAGTTCAACTCTTGGATTAGAGATCAAAATATTAAAAAATTAAAGCTATTCATTGGAGAGTTTTACTTATCAACAAATTAAAAATATATAAGGGCCAGTTCACCCCACTCAAATTTTGGAGTTGTCCAAATAAGAATTCAACTTTTCTATTGATTTACAAAGAATTGAAATCATCTAAACATTCACAGCTACTTATTGGAACAAAACCAACCCATGCCAGAGTTCAAGTAAAGAGAGTGAAGAAGAGATAATAAAGGATGTTGAACCAATAACGGGGGATCTAAAAATAGATACTCCTCAATGAACTCATCTTTTCACATTATAGTTTTATCATTTTATTCATTTATAAAGTAGATTATAATTGAAGGTAGGGGGTGTCAAAATAGGTTTTTTTTTTGGAAAGCAAAATAGGTATTCGAGTTGAATTCAGAATTGACCCGGGTCCAAACGGGTTGATCCTAACCCTATCCGATTTTATAAATGTCTCGAAACTTCAGACCCGGATATGACTCATCGGTTTCCCGGGTTGACACAACTCGACCCGCTGGCCCTGAAATTTTCAAGTCATATTAGGATGCGCGGGCAAAGGAGTTGCAAACAAGCGAGCTAGGGTGCGGGAGGGGGAAGGGTGCGGCTGGCGAGGGTGCGGTGGAGAGGGCTCGGTGCGTGGGTGAATCCGACATTCCACGTGCTGACGCGTCATGCAAGTGCGAGCATGGGAGTGGGTCTGGGTGTGGATGAGAACGTGGGACTGCGGAGGGCGAGCAGCCGAGCATGACTACTTGCTTGAGCCGAGCATCAGAGCGGGGATTTGGGTCATTCGGATTACCTTTGAATTTCTGAATCAGTTCGAATCTGACCTGAAAATGATTTAAAATTTTAAACCCGAACTCAACCTGCATGACAAATGAGTCAAAAAACTCAAAATTTTTAGGTTAGATCAGGGGATCGGGTCGAGGTACGATACCCCTTCAATATTTGTTGTAATGTGCCACTAGAGGCACTCTCTCTTGAAATAATATAGCTTTCTTCTGTGCAGCTTGCAAGATTGCCGTCAACGGTCTTTAACGGACTGTAGCGACGGCAACATCTCCCCTCATCGAACCTTCACGGCCATGAACCTCGATATCGACGAGCCGGCCATCCTCGCCGGACCCACTCCGTTGTAAAAATCTGGGAGTCACTATCGAAGGGATGACCATTCTCTTCTTTATGAAGGCTAGGTATTTGTGAGAAAACGGCAAACGTGCGTCGCAGTTGCAGGCTGCTTCCCCGTTGTTCAAGCATATTTCATTGCTTATCCTTTCAGGTACGCAATCTTCTTTCTTCTCCATTCGATATCTTCCTCTAGGAAAACCGTGTAATCTTAATCGCGTTTATTTAGGTTTTTATTTTTGATAGTTTAGCTAGCCCTTGCTTTCAAATTTATGTGCTAAGAAGACTTCGATTCATTGCGCAGAGTCTACTTATCTGCTTATTTGGTGGTCATTATCGGATCTGATAGGAACTTATTTTTTGCTAGTTGAGGCGATCTTTTCACCAATTGATTTTTCTGAAATCGTGATTGTCGGAGCGCGAGCTCTATCTCTGCGTTATTAGGTTTCTGCAAGGCGATAGTCGCCCGATTATACCTTATTATTGTTTTTTTTGGGTGACCGATGAGGATGCCGTATGAACTGTGAAATTTTTTTTTAGCGGTTAATTTTGCTATTTATTGGAATACAGAATTGTAGTAAAAGTTCGTAAGTATTGAATACAGAATTGTAGTCTTCCAATAGGCTAGGTACTAACTTTTGTAGTTCCCCCTTGGTCATCTGTGTATCTGCTAAGGTAGGCTTATCTTTTCACCCGACTAAAATTCCGTGCTTAACATTTTTTTAAGTATCATTTCATCTTGCATGATACTTTCAACATCGAAGTAGGCTACCGAATTGGAATGATGGGTTATGTGAAAGCAATAGTTGTAGTAGAAATTTCTTATATAAAATAATCAGCTGGCAATTCTTGAGGTTTGAATGTTTCTCAATAAGGCAATGCCTTAAAGGTTGAAAATATGGCTGATAAGCATATGAAGAGACAAAATTGAAACATAAGCATTTGATTTGATTTTTCCACTAATTTTGATGATAGGCCTTTAAATATAGTTTTTTATGTCTGATTTGTGTGAAGTGTTCAAGACGTATGAATCATGATAATGTCACCTTCATTATATCATCAAAGACTTTTCTTAACATTTACATTATTATAATATTTTTTAGTATGTTATTCAATTTGTTTTTTTAACCTCATTATATAAATCATGTATATTTTATGCAAATAATGCAGTAGAATTAGCATATGCATGCAGCAGTAAAGGGATAAAATCTAAAGGATTTCTAGGGTTCAGTTATTGAATAATTTCAAATGTTGTATTGCTTCTAGATTTTCATATAGCGCAGTTGCATGCAAATTTAAAAATAAATAATTGCAAATCCTTTCGCCTAGATTTTCTTTTTCATCCAAATGTCTAAATAGATTTCTAAGGCTGCTAATTACTATCTCAGCCACATCATTGGCTTGATAGTGAAAGTAATTTATATTCAAGCTCTCAACGTACGACCTAAGTTAGTAATTAAGTGGCGACAATGTGGAAAGGAGAGATGTATTTGTTTCTAGCTAGACTCTTTAACGACCTTGTGATTAATTAAAATATACATAGCACTCTTCTATGTTTTCTCTCTTTGTTGTTGTGTACAATAAGATCTCCTTCTATTTTGGCCTTTATTTTCTTTTGCACAACAATCATCTGATGTATTTTCACTATTTGTGTGCTGAATTAACAATTTGAAACTTCATCGGTTGGACTGCAATTTGTTGATTTCAGCAATATGGAATTTGCAGAAGTAGCAAAAGGGAAACATCTTTTGCATGAAAACAACATTAAGAAAGCAACAAACATCAATTATTGCAACCTATGAAAACATAAATAGAATTTATGTGGTGTGGATTTATGTGTTGCTAGGTGCAAAGCAGGCACTCGAAAATATTGGGCTATGTGTATGCAATGTTGCATGCACCACTTTGTGGTGTATCAGGAGACTTATAATCAAGCGAGGAATTATTGGTTGACATTTCATGTGAGATTAGGACTCGACGAACCCGAATGTTGTTGTGTATAATAAAGCAATATGTGGTTCAATATTAAGGCTAGACAAGTAACTAAGTTCGATGTGGGGTTGTGGAGTGAACATCAAATGCGATAACAAGTGGGGAAGTGGTTGTGATTGGCTATTATGAGCGAGATTTAAGATGATTCAAAATGGACAATATTAGGCACTAGAATCGGGTTGTGGACATGAGGCTATGAATTTAAGTCAGTCAAAATTCAATACCGAGGGAGATAAAAATAACTCCACATGCACAACTTGTATGGATTTACATACACAATTTGTATCTATAGAGCACTCAATTAGTTTCATATAATTTCAATCATTCAATTATTAATCAATAATAAATCATTTACATATATTGGATCCTTATTTATTAAAATAGGGTTACAAGGGCAAAACATTTAAATATGAAACTATTCCTATCCAATATATACAAACTTTCAAATTTAAACTTATTATTATTCAAGAGAATATAAAAATCTTAAAAATAATTCAAATTTAAAAATTATAATAAATTTAAATATAATTCTAAGCAGGCGTAAAAAGGCTTAAAAATTGGTCAAGTTTAGACCTGTTAGTAATTTGATTATCACCAATTGTGCTATTGTTAAAATATTTGATTGGCTTGATGGTTTGTTCTGCATTAGGGATGCAATCTAAAAAAAATTATTTGGTTGTCATGCTTCCTAAAATGAATGATCGACGGTGGTTGCAGCTTTTTTTTTATGCTTTTTGTTTTATTTATTGAGATTGGTGGTATCTAAATGTTTGCTAGTAGGACAATTAGTAAAAGATATCTTAGGTCAATTGACATATGGATAGGTCCAACATGAAAGTGTTAGCAAACCAAACAAGCTACATATGTTCAAAAGATAACAGGATATCTAAGATACCAACTTACCAAACAATCCCTTGAAGCTGCACTATGTTACTTCCTCAATAATTCACTTATGCATGCTACCATTTTTACTTTTTTTACATTCTCTGACAGTCATTCACTTTAAAATTCGTGGGGTTATGCGCTTTTGAAGATAGCATGTATTTGAATCTTTAAA